CAGCACCCCTTCCTGATAAAAACCCTCGAACATCTAGGCATAGATGGAACATATCTCAAAATAATAAGAGTCATCTACAAGAAACCCACAGCCAGCATTCTGCTAAACAGACAGAAACTGGAACCATTTCCCCTGAAAACTGGAACAAGACAAGGATACCCACTCTCACCTCTTCTGTTCAACATAGTTTTGGAAGTTCTAGCTAGAACAATAAGAGAAGAAAAGGTGATCAGGAGTATCCAAATAGGAAAAGAGGAAATCAAATTATCCCTCTTTGCAGACATGATTCTTTTTTTTTTTTTTTTTTTTTGAGTTAGAGTCTCATGTCTCACTCTGTCACCCAGACTGGAGTGCAGTGGCCGCTCCTGGCCACCGCATCCTCCACCTGCTGAGCTCTGGAAATCCTCCCACCTCAACCTCCCAGGTAACTGGAACTACAGGCACGCTACCATGCCCGGCTAATTTTTTGATTTATTGTGGAGATGAGGTCTCTCCAAGTTGCCCAGGCAGGTCTCGAACCTGTGGGCTCAGGCAATCCACTCACCTCGGTCTCCCAAGGCACGGGATTATAGGCTGAGTCACCGAGCCTGGCCGACACAATTCTATACCTGGAAAACCCAATAGAATCTGTCAAAAACCTCCTTGCACTGATAAAGGACTTTGGCAAAGTCTCATGGTATAAAATAAATGTGCAAAAGACAATCACATTTCTATACATCAATAATAAACAAACAGAAACCCAAATAAAAAGCACAGTTCCCTTCACAATAGCCACCAAAAAACTGAAATACCTTGGCATCTTCCTAACCAGAGATATGAAAGACCTTTACAATGAAAACTACAAAACACTGCTGAAAGAAATCAAAGATGACACAAATAGGTGGAAAAATATTCCATGTTCATGGATCGGAAGAATCAGCATTGTTAAGATGTCCATTCTCCCTAAGGCAATCTACAGATTTAGTGCAATACCCATCAAATTACCTGCAACATTCTTCTCAGACCTAGAAAAAACAGCATAAGAATTCATATGGAAACATAAATGGCCATGAATAGCCAAAACAATCCTCAGCAAAAAAAAAAAAAAAAAAAGCAGGAGGTACCACATTCCCAAACTTTAACTTTATTATAAAGTTACAATAATCAAAACAGCCTGATATTGGCACAAGAACAGGCATAGAGACCAATGGACTAGAATTGAGATTCCAGAAGTAAAACCTCAATTTCTCAACCAACTCATCTTCAACAAAGCCTCCACCAACAACCACTGGGGAGAGAAGAACCTATTCAGTAAATTGTGCTGGGAAAACTGTCTGACCACATGCAGGAGATTGAAACAGGACCCCTACCTATCCCCATACACAATAATCAACTCTAAATGGATCAGAGACCTAAATGTAAAACCTCAAACTATAAGAGCCTCAGAAAAAGCAGGAGACACCCTTATGGAAATTGGAACTGGCAACCAATTCCTGATCAAAACTCCAATGCCCATGCCGTAAGTGATAAGATAGACTAGTGGGACCTCATCAAACTGAAAAGCTTCTGCAAAGCCAAAGAAATCCTCCCGCCTCAAGAGAAGAGAAGAGGGAGACAGCCCACAGACTGAGAAAAGATATTTGCCAACTGTATGTCTGACAAATGCCCAACATCTAGGATCTACAGGGAACTCAAATGTGCTGAAAAGAAAGAAACAGCCCCATTACAAAGTGGGCAAAAGATATGAATAGACAGTTCTCAAAAGAAGACATATGAGCAGGCAACAGATACATGACAAAATGTTCGGCCTCACTAGTCTTCAAAGAAATACAAATTAAAAGTACACTGAGATACCACCTAACTCCAGTCAGAATGGTCATCATCAATAACTCAAAAAATAGCCGGGCTTGGTGGCTCAGCCTGTAATCCCGTGCCTTGGGAGGCTGAGGTGAGTGGACTGCCTGAGCCCGCGGGTTCAAGACCCGCCTGGGCAACTTGGTAAGACCTCATCTCTACAATAAATCAAAAAATTAGCCGGGTGTGGTAGCGCATGCCTGTAGTCTAGCTACTTGGAAGGCTGAGGTGGAAGGATTGCCGGAGCCCAGCAGGTTTATGTTGCGGTGGCCAGGAGCAGCCACTGCACTCCAGTCTGGGCCACAGAGTAAGACACCAATTCAAAACAAAAACAAAAACAAAAACAAAAAATAACAGGTGCTGGAGATAATGTGGCGAAAAGGGAACACTTCACAATAGCAAGATCATGGAACCAACTGTGCTGCCCATCAAAAGAGGACTGGATAAAAAAAAATGTGGTACATATACATGATGGAATATTATGCAATCATAAAGATCAAAATCATGAACTTTGCAGCAACCTGGATGGAATTGGAGTCTATAATACTGAGTGGTCTTTCACAGAAACAAAGAACTGAGTATCACATGTTCTCACTCATAGGCAGACCTTGAATAACTATCATAATACTATAAGAAAAGGATTGACAGTAGCGGGAAACTGCGGGGGTGTGAGGGGTTGAGGAGGTGGGATTGGCAGAAGTGAGAATCTGCCTGGGTAAGGGGGGGGCACACTTCATCAACAAGGGTAACTGCACAATGAATATTTGTATACCTAACCCTGAATTGTACTCTACAATTTTAAAATTAATAATTAAAAAAAAAAGCATTGTGGGCAACCTCCTTGGGTTGTCTCCTGTTCTGGGAACTTTTCTGTACTCTCACCAAATCCTGCTTCAAAAAAAAAGAAAAAAAGAAAAAAAGAAAAATAAATAAAACTACATTTTGTAAATGTATGGGGAGTTTTAAAATTTATCTTTTTCTTATCAATCTATAACCTAATTCTTTTGTAGTCAAAGAATATAAGCTTGAATTTTATAGGGATTTGTTTTTGGACTAGGAGTAATTATGTGTAAACATCTCATGAGTGTTTGAGAAAGAATATGTATTCTCTAATTGTAGTTTCAGATTCTATTTTAGTTTATTATATTAAACTCATTTCTATTGTTCAAAATCATCTACAGCTTTGTCTTTTTTGTCTCCTTGATATAGTAGTAATTGGGAGAGGTGATTTGAAATTTTCCTGTATGATAGCTTTGTCAACTTTTTCTTATATTTCTCTTTATTGTATATAGTATGAGGCTATTATATGGGTTAGATTCAAGTTTAGAACTGTATCTACCTGATGAATATACTTTTATCATTTAGGATCCATGTCTATTCCTAATAATACTTTTAATTTTATAATTTTATTAGTTTCCTACAGCTTTCATAACAAAGTGCCACCAACTGGGTGGCTTAAAACCATTTTATTCATAGTTCTTGATGCTAGGAGTCTGAAATGAAGGTGTTGGCGAATGAGGCTCCCTCTGACAGAAGGCTCTAAGGTAGAATCCTTCTTTGCCTCTTCTATCTTTTGGTAGCTGTTTCTCAAAAAGAGAGTAGTCATTTGTGGGTAATGGCAGGGCCGTGCTCTAAAATCTCAAGGGCCTGCACTGAGATTCACCTGCCAAAGGCACCAGACAGCATCCCTATTTGCCCTGACAATTTAAGCACCACTGGATCTGCTGGACCACACAGCTCACATGGCAGAGCAATGTGCAGAGCAACCTGGACTCATTGCAGAGCCTTCTCTTGTTCTGGAACCTATTCAAAACTAGCAGCTTTTTGAGTCACCCAATAAATGGACTGGGGTAACACACTCAAATAAGAAAATAATCTTCAAAGCCCAAAGAGACCCACTGGGTGTTGTGCTCTTTCTTCGTTACAGGAGCAGCCAGACGCAACAACTTATCCTTCACCTTAGAAGACATATCTCAACATGTCCCACACCACTGAATCCCTACAAATTTCACTAAGATAGAAGGCCCACTTTAGATTTATTTCCTACCCTCTGACGCAAACGCCATTCCAATAAGCCTAGAGTAGTTGCTACTTCTCACTTACTAGGTCCAGTTAGCATAATTTCATCAGTGTAATATTCTGTGGAAGTGAAAGGTAATCTAAATCCCTGTGAACTAAATTATGGCATAGGGTTGGAGAGTTGATATACACGAGATATAACAATCAAGGTGTATTACTGGCTTTGCCAACTGAAAGAAAACTGCCTTTATGGAAAGACATCTGCCAGATCACCTGCTGCACAGCAGGCACCAGGGGATGTGTTAATTTGCTCAAGCAATAAAACCACACGTGGCACGGTAATTGCAACCGGAGTCACAGCTTGGTTAAGCTTATGATAATCCACTGTCATTCTCCAACATTATCATCATGCTAATGCCACCACAAAAGAATAAAAGTTTCCCCATTCCCACCTGTTATTTATCTTCTGAGACTTTCTTATATACCCATACAGACATCCCCTCTCTGTTGGTTTTTAAAAAACATACATACAGAATACTACTGTTTTGCAACTTGATCTTTTCACTCAATACATCATGGAATCCTTCTGGTTCAGTATATACAGACCTGACTCATGTTTAATGGCTGCATGCTTAGTGAAATGGATATACTGTAATTTACTCGACCAGTTTTCTTACTGATGGATACTCATGTTGATTCCATTGTTTTGCTATTATAAGTAACGCTGAAATAAACATCCTTTCATACATAATATAATGTGTATATATAAAATGGAAATTATAAATATAATATACATATTTACTTGCAGTTGTACAAATAATTCTGATTTTTGGGTGAAAGGGAATATCCTACCTTTCCACCTTTTTATTTATAACAAATTTCTTTCTTTTTTTTTTTTGTCTGAGTCAGAGTCTCACTCTGTCACCCAGGCTGGAGTGCTATGGCATGATCACAACTCATCACAGCCTCCTGGGCTCAAGTGATGTTCCTGCCTCAGCCTCTCAAGTAGCCAAGTAGCTGGGGTTATAGGTGTGTGCCACCATGCCTGGTTAATTTGACTATTCTTTTGTAGAGATGAGGTCTCACTTTGTTGCCCAGGCTGGTCTTGAATTCCTGGCCTTAAGCAATCCTCCCACCAGGTATGAGCCACCATGCCTGGCTTATTTATGACAAATTTCTCATAATATTCCTTGTTAACCAAGGAATGACTTCAGTTTTAAAATCCGCTGAGTATATTCAGTTTTCCTCTAGCTCTCAGCACATACTGTGTATTAGGATTTGGTGAACTTGAGGACTGAAAGAACTTCTTGGCCTGCTTGTCTGGAAAGTGCAGTGGTCCCTGGCAGACCTTTTGTCTTCATTGTTTCCAAAATTTCTTCTAAAATGAAAAAAAATCAAAACAAAAGGTCAATTCTGTTAAATCATTTGGAAATGTGTTTGATCACTAAGCAGTTTAATAAGATGATAAGTACAGACTATTTATAAATTATATTCATCTAACAACACAACATATACCAAGGAAATGTCTATTAAAGTGAAACTGGACTTCAGAAAGATGGGAGCCTTTGTATTTCCAAGGTGTTGCTGAGTATTCTAATCAGACAGAATGGCTTACTTTGCACTGGTAGCCTACTTTGAACTTAACAGAAATATTAGTTATCCTTGTTATTATAGCAAGTGATCCATTTTTTAATTGTCTGGCTCCAATCTCTGCCCTATAGCCTTCCCTTTGAATAAAAAAGGTCAATGAAGGTATGAACAAACCGAATAGTGACACTGCACAGCAAAAGCAAATGAAGTAGCTTATTGAGAAAAGCAAAATCTTCCTTTTATAAAGTAAAACTAAAAAGACTAAACTAAGAAAATGGAGTTACAAAAAAAGAAAGAAAACTAGTAATCATGATGTAATGTGAGGGGCTGAGGATATAAGATATAAGATAAAAAAGATATAAGATAAAAATAAAACAAGATGTACAGAAAAAGAGAAGACTACAGTCAATTTAGTTATAAAGTATTCTGAAAACCAAGATATAAAAATCCATACAATAAGAAAACTTTCATGATAAAACTTCAGATGAACTAAAGAGTACACAGCAAAATTGTCAAGGGCATGAAGACTTGAGAGGGTAGAGAGAAAATTCACAATACTGAGGGTGAGGAGTTAGAAAAAGAAATTAAGATATTTTGTACTTGAATATTAGTTTATAAATGGGGAATAAACCACCAAAAAAGAAAAGAAGACAATACTTTTTTAAACAAGAAAAATTTCTCTCTTAAAATCTTTTTCTAAGCCAGGCACAGTGAGTGGCTCATGCCTGTAACCCCAGCACTTTGGGAGGCAGAGGCAAGAGGACTGGCTGAGCCCAGGAGCTCAAGACCTGCCTGGGCAACATGGCAAGACCTCGTTTCTATAATAAATCAAAAAATTAGCCAGGCATGGTAACGCATGCTGGGAGTCCCAGCTACTTGGAAGACTGAGGCAGAAGGGCTGCCTCAGCCTAGAAGGTCAAGGCTGCGGTGGCCATAAGCTTGCACAAAAACCAAAAAAACTCTTTCTTTTTCAACACAAATTTATGTCTATATTAGCTCAGTGATTAAATTCATTAACATGCCAGATCATTTTATAAATTACAGTTGTTTATTAACTTTTGATTTTAGTAAAGTAAATAGTTAAATGATAAACTAGTCTATATTACCTGGATTGTTTTCTTTAATTGTAACTAAATAGAATAATCCTTTTGGTGAAAGTAGGTCTGAAGCCAGCGGAAGGAATCTGTCCATGACTTCTCTACCACTTCTGCCACCAGCCCAAGCTGCCTCTATTCCATGACTTCCTACCTGTGACCAGTTAGAAAAAATGTTTTCTTTTAACTCAAGTCAAATTTGAGTTAGATCACAAACTGAATCTTTTTGACAAGTAACATGACAAAGCAAGCATATATTTTGCATTTTACTGCTGAGGCAGTAAAGTTGAATCTAAATTCCATTATTTTCTAGTTTGGGTAACTTTGGGTAGATTAGTAATCTTTGTGAATTAGTTTCCTACCATATCTATAAAATTAGAAAAAATAATAGGTCTGTCTATACAATCAAAAACTAATTTTTATCCACTGTTAGGAATTAAAGAGTAAGTATATTTAAACAATGCCCTGCACATATTAAGGGCTTAATAATAGTTGTTACTATTAATACAATGCTTACATGGAGAGACATAGGAAACTCTTCTACTTAATATAGAAAAATTAGAAAGATGCTAGAAGGGGAAGCTTGTATAATAGATCTACTGTTCAGTAAAAAAGCTTTAAAAGCTTCCAACACATCCGGATCTCTTCTAGATTAAAGTATAAAACACACAGACTTTTTTTTTTTTTTTGAGTCAGAGTCTCACTCTGTCACCCAGGCTAGAGTGCAGTGGCACACTCACTGCTACTGCAGCCTCAACCTGCTGGGCTTAGCCAATACTTCTGCCTCAGCCTTTCAAGTAGCTGGAACTATAGACATGTGCCACCATGTCCAGCTAATTTTTAAAATTTATTTACTGTAGAGCTGAGGTCTCACCAAGTTGCCTAGGCTGGTACACACAGACCTTTTTATAGAAACCCATTTATTATATTAAAGTATACTGAAGCATTTTTCCTCTAACAAACTATTTTAGAAACAAAATCTGAGTTTATGTAGTATTACCAATCTTTAGATCCTTACCATTGTATATTGTTTTCAAAATTAAAGAATTAAAGAGTACTTTAACCCTAATACAACAGTTTTCTTATTTCCTTCCATGGTCTTTGTCTATATTTTAGTTTAAATTATTTATATGCAGTCATGCCTTTAATTTATTCATTTATATGGCATATATTTTCCTACTAAAAATAATTCCTTTATAACTATAGTCATATGCGTATATACTTTTATGAAGGAAAGGAATAATCATATGCATATATACTTTTATGAAAAAAGGAATATACTCATATGCTTGTTTTTAAAAAGTCACACCTTCAAGTCCAATAAAGCTTGAAGAAAAATGAATAAACAAAAGCCACACTTTTTCCTTTTACTGTTTTGTTTGTTTGCCTCACCCCTACCTTCTACACACACAAGTTTTTCTTTTTGTCCATGTTTTACAAAGACAGGATTATATTACATATGCCTACCTGTATCTTGCTTCTCCCACTGAACAATACCTTATAAAAATCTCTTCATGTCATGTGATTTAGTTCTAATTCTTTTATTGTTGTTGTTGGAGTCTCACTGTCGCCCAGGCTGGAGTGCAGTGGCATGCTCATGGCCACCACAGCAATGACCTGCTGGGCTCAGGCAATCCTTCCGCCTCAGCCTTTCAAGTAGCTGGAACTATAGGTGTGCATGACCATGTCCGGTTAATTTTTTTGATTTATTATGGAGACGAGGTCTTGCCAAGTTGCCCAGGCTGGTCTTGAACCCTGGGCTCAGGCAATCCTCTCACCTCAGCCTCCCAAAGTGCTAGGATTACAGGCGTGAGCCACTGTGCCCTGCTTAATTCATTCTTTTAAGGGTTGTATAATATTTTCTGGTGGAAAAGTATCATATCTTATTTGAGTATTGAGGGGCATTAACTGTGTCCATTTACTTAATTTTCCTTGAATCTAATCATTCACATATCTATCATAAGCTTCAATATAATTTTCCACAAAGTTAATCATAGTTGGAAATTTATCAGCTATTTTTTGTCAAGATCTTTCTAATGAAGACTTCTTTTTCCTGGCATTTCCTTTGCTTTTCTCCTGGGTTAAACATTCTCTTTTTCTGGGATCCATATCTTCCTCTTCCTTATTTTAATGGAGCACATTCTTTGGTGGTTTCATCAGGTAAGATGGCCTGTGGCAAGCATGCATGGTGATGACAGTCTCTGCCAGGTCTGTCTCTTTCTTGTCTCTCTGTTCCAATACAAATTAGGGTCCCTCTGTGATATGACTGCCCAGGGATGCTCAGCTTGTTTATCTACTTGCAGTAGAGATGACTCTCCAGGATTGTCGGGTACCAACCCCCCCCTTTGAGAGTAAGGGTCTCACTCTGTCATCCAGGCTGGAGGGCAGTGGCATGATCACAGCTCACTGTAGCCTAAAACTTCTGGGCTCAGGTGATCCTTCTGCCTCAGCCTCCTGAGTAGCTGGGACTACAGGCATGCACCACCACGCCCAGTTTATTATTATTTGAATCGGGGTCTTACTCTGTTGCCCATGCTGGAGTACAGTGGCACAATCATGGCTCATCACAGCCTCAACCTCCTGGGTTCAGGCAATCCTCCTGACTTCAGCCTCCCGAGTAGCTGGGATTACAGATGTGCACCATCATGTCCAGTTAATTTTTTGATTTTTGTAGAGATGCAGTCCTACTATGTTGCCTAGGCTGCTCTCAAACTCCTGGGCTCAAGCAATCCTCCTGCCTTGGCCTCCCAAAGTGCTGGGATTACAGGAGTGAGCCACTGCACCCCGCCCCAATCACATTCTTCCAGGCCACAGAAGGGAGGGTTCCATCTTCATAAAGGAGGAGTCATGTTTGGTGGACTTTTGTTTATCCACTACCTGGGTCAACTGCTGTGGCACTCTGATCCTTCACAGACTACAGGGACAAACCAAAAGAACCTTATTTCATGTTTCTGGATACACTAGTAAGTACAGTCACAACTTTTTATAAGCACTGACTCCGATTATTTGTATGTCTCCTGGATCTAATCTAATCTCTAAGTCTCAAATCTTTTACCTTTGTGATTTTCTTCTCTTTGTCTTCATGCTTTGTGCACTGAAATATTTATTTCATTGGGTTTCCAGGCTACTTACTCAGGTCTAGATAGTGAACTCATTCCTTTTAATTCATTTCCTGATGTTTTACTATGTAAAACATGTTTTAAAGGTCCAAGACAGCTTTGTTGTGTTATATTTTGATCCTGCTCTTCAGTTAACTGCCCAGCTCATAAGAATATGATACTAGTTCTCTCTGTTGGGACTGCAAAAAAGCCTCAGGCATTGTCTAGACTCAGTCACCTATATGTCCCAATAGCTGTAAGGCTCAGGAGATGCACATGTCTTAGAGCTAGGAGCATGGGAGGAAAAAAGCCCATTTAAGTCAACATACTACAGAAATTTCTCTTTTCATTTACTCGTCTTTACATTTGTAGACCTGATAGATCATAAATTATTTAACTACTTCTCTTCTGTTACGTATACAGTTTCACATTATTTGCCATCATAGTTAAAGAAACATATTTTTGTGAATTTCAATTTATTCTACTGTTGATTTATCTTAAAAGTTCAAGGATGAAGATTATTGGATTGAAACATTTTTATCACTCTTAATATTTATTTCCATAGCACTTTCCTAAAGAGTTTTAATAAATTTCCTTTCCCTCAATGGCTGTTCTCCTTATGACAATGACTTTGTTCCTTCTTATATGAGTTCATATGTCAGTGGAGCAACAGTTCTTTCACTATTTAACTGCCATTAGTAGTAACAGGAGCCAAATGCATCCTTCCCATCTTGGTATAGAGGTGAATGGAAAGTTTATCAGCTTTGCCAAGGAATAATTTTCAAAAAATACAATAAACACAATAATTAAAGAAAAGCTAGTCCCCTATTAAACTTTGATCATACCTGGGAAAAGGTTACTGCACTTTACTGAGATTTTAAAAATCATAAATTGCCTATGGGTTACAGTGCAGACATGGCCAAGTCCAAGAACCACACCACACAGAACCAGTTCTGAAAATGACACAGAAATGGCATCAAGAAACCCTGATGACAAAGATACGAGTCTCTTAAGGGGGTGGACCGCAAGTTCCTGAGGAACATGCACTTTGCCAAGAACTACAAGAAGGGCCTGAAGAAGATATAGGCCAACAATGCCAAGGTCATGAATACACATGCTTAGGCTATCAAGGCCCTCATAAAGGCCAAGGAGGTTAAGTCCAAGATCCCACAGGGTCCTAGCCACAAGCTTAATTGACTTGCCTACATTGCCCAACCCAAGCTTGAAAAGTGCATTCATGCCCACATTGCCAAGGGCCGTAGGCTCTGCTGGTCAAAGGCCAAGGATCAAGCTAAGGCCCAGGCTGCAGCTTCAGCTGCAGCTCCAGCTTGGACTCAAGCTTCTGCTCAGGTTCCCAAAGGTGCCCAGGCCCCCACAAAGGCTCCAGAGTAGAGGTTTCTGCCAGTCCCTAGACTGCTGTCTGTGTGGGGCTGGTGTCCTCCTGTGCTATATGTACAAATAAGCCTGAGACAGAAAAATAAAAATAAAAATCATATATTACAAGATTTTTTTCCCTACTTGAAATGAGACTTGGCCTTACTGTCCCACTTTCTGGTAATACATGTGCAAAGAGGAAACCTGAAACTTCCAGAAGAAATTTCTATGTGAATTTAAGGTTGATAAAAAAATTTTGCTTTGCAAATTCGTTATTCATGATAAAGGATATATGTAACATATATTGATGGATATTATATACATAATATGTATTCACATATATGAATTTAAACACTATGACCTGATTTTTTAAATTATTATTTTATTTTATGCTTTATTTTAAAGATGTAGGGTACAATTCAGGTTAGGTATATAAATGTTCATTACACAGTTACCCTTGTTGATAGGGTTTGCCTCTCCCTCCCCTGGCAGTTTCCCTCAACTGCAAATACCAATCCCCTACCCCCGGCAGTTTTACACTACTGCCAATCCCTTTCTTACAGTATTATGATAATTGTTCAAGGTCCGCTTATGAGTGAGAACATATGGTACTCTGTTCTTTGTTTCTGTGATAGATCACTGAGTATGATAGACTCTAAACCCATCCAAGTTGTGACGAAGTCCATATGTTTGTCCTTCTTTGTGGCTGCAAAATATTCCATTGTGTATATGTCCCAAATTTTTTTATCCAGTCCAGCTTCGATAGACAGCATGGTTGGTTCCACGTTTTGGCTATTGTGAATAGAGCTGCAACAAACATGCATTGCAGGTATCTTTTTGGTAGAATGACTTGAGTTCCTCTGGTTATATTCCCAATGGGGGATTGCTGGGTCATCTGGAAGGTCAATTTCTAGTTCTTTCAGAAATTGGCACACTGTCTTCCTAAGAGGTTGCACTATTTTGCATTCCCACCTCAGTGTAGAAGCATTCCTTTTTCTCTGCATCCTCACCAGCATTAGTTGCTGTTTGTTTTATTAATGACGGCCATTCTTACTGGGGTTAGGTGGTATCTCAATGTTGTTTTGATTTCCATTTCTCTGATAATGAGTGAGGTTGAGCACTTTTTCATGTATCTGCTGGCTGCCCATATATCTTCTTTTGAGAAGTGTCTATTCAAGTCTTTTGCCCACTTTTTAATGGGGCCGTTTGTGTTTTTCCTTTTGGCATGTTTGAGCTCCTCATAGATCCTAGATGTTAGGCCTTTGTCAGATATACAGTTGGCAAATACTTTTTCCCATTCTGTGGGCTGTCTCCCCACTCTCTTGATGGTTTCTTTTGCTTTGCAGAAGCTTGTCAGTTTGATGAGGTCCCACTTGTCTATCTTATCTCTTAGAAGAGTATGGGCACTTGCGGTTTTGACCAGGAATTGGTTGCCAGTTCCAATTTCCATAAGGGTGTCTCCTATATTTTCTAAGATTCTTGCAGTTTGAGGTTTTATGTTTAGGTCTTTGACCCATTTAGAGTTAATTTTTGTGTATGGTGATAGGTAGGTGTCCTGTTTCAATCTTCTGCATGTGATCAGCCAGTTTTCCCAGCACCGTTTACTGAATAGGTTCTCCTCTCTCCAGTGGTTGTTGTTGGAGGCTTTGTCAAAGATGGGTTGGCTGAGAAATTGAGGCTTTGCTTCCGGAATCTCTATCCTGTTCCATTGGTCTGTATGCCTGTTCTTGCACTAGTACCAACTATGACCTGATTTAGATGGGATTTTTAATGACAGATATGGGTCACAGTTTGTATTTCCATTATTTTAGTTTTTCTCCTATATCTAGTAAAGAAGTTTCTTTTCCTATATCTAGTAAGAACTTGATTACTAACTACTAGAAGTAAAAACCAAGTTGTTTGTGTTAGTAGCAGCTGAATGATTTCAAATGATGATGTGTATTTGATTTCAGAGACAAAAAGCTAAAAATATTAATAATTTTACATTGCTGTATCCCTTACCTCTTCAGGTGGAGTCACGACATAGGGGGGATTAAACACCAGAAGATCAACTTTTCCCTTTAATCTTGGTAGCAAGCCTTTGACCTAAATGTGTTCAACAACAGTAAGAGGTTTAAGTTAAACTCTGAATTAAATAATTAACAAATCAACTTTTAAAAATACTCTCCCACCAACACTCTAAGTGAATTATCACAGAAACAAAAAACTGAATACTGTATGTTCCCACTCACAAGTGGATGCTAAACACTGAGCACACATGAGTGTAAGGATGGTAACAACAGATATCAGATAATACAAAAGGAGGGAGAATAAGGGATATAAAACCACCCATTGGGCACCAGCCTTACCATTGGGAAGGTGTGTTCATCAGAAGCCCAAATCTCGCCTTTGCTCAATATACCTATGTAACAAATCCTCACATACACCCCATGATCCTCAAATTAAAAAAAAAGTTAAAAATATAAATAAAAGTGTTCTGCTCTCCCATGTTTTTAGGAAAAAATAACATGTTAGGTGACCACATTTGTAGACAGAAATGAAGACAAGTATTTTTTACAGTTTCGTTCAGATAAAGAATATATGCAATTAACTAAAAGTAAAGAAATCAAACTATCAGAAAGAACATTTTATAAAATGTTCAGCAAAGCCTCTGCTCCTCTGCTCTTCAACAGCACATTTGTTTACACTCTGGGTTCACTTTTTTTTTTTGGAGTTGGGGTCTCACTCTGTTGTTGAGTGCAGTGAAACGATCACAACTCACTGCAGCTGTGACCTTCTGAGTTCAAGTGATCCTTCTGCCTCAGCCTCCCAGGAAGCTAGGATTACAGGTCTGCACCACCAGAACTGGCTTTTTTTTTTTTTTTGTAGATATGAAGTCTTGCTATGTGGCCTAGGCTGGTCTCAAATTCTGGGGTGAAAGCAGTCCTCCTGCCTCAGGCTCCCAAAGTGCTGAGATTACAGGCATGAGCCAACACACCTGGCCTGGTTTCACTTTTAGAAGACGAAATGGTGAGGAGACAAGCTCTAACTCTGTAGCACATCTTCTTATAGATTTCGTACAACTTTACAGTGATTGCCACTAACTTAAAACATCTATTTTCTATAACCAAGATAAATGTTTTATGAGATGACAGAAAATATATCTGAATGACAGAAAATATCAGAAGATGGATTTTTTTGCTTTCCATTTCTTCAATTACTTGTAAATGTATTGTCTGAGAGATTTTAGATATCAAAGAAAGAGTTGATAATACTAGGAAAAACACTGAAAATAGTATTTGTCTGGCATTTTAAAAATCTTTAAATTTGGTGTAATTTTCTATGAAACAACAAGAAAAATGTCTTTTGTAAAGAAAGTACATTTAGGGTAAAGTGTCACAGTATTTTTCTGATTAAATTGAGTAAATAAAAGTGATAAAAATCATGTTTGAGAACGTCACACTATGCCTTTACAGGATAGTAGAGTAAAAACAGTATATGTGGATAAGTTCTTACCTCCAAAATCATTTCCTTCAATTACTACTTTGTATTGACTCTTACTCATGAATTCTGAGCCTGTTTCTTGAGATGGAATATTGAAGGATCTCAAAGAAATGTCCACAACTACAGTTATTTTATTAACGTTCTCACAATTTTTCCCATATCTGCATAGATACCTATCATTATTTACTGGTTATTGTTCTTTAAATGGATCTCTTTTTGTTAAATAATACAACTGCAAATGGAATATCAGTATTACTTTCTGGAAATAGAAATGACTATTACAATAAATGCAATAAAAACAAAAAATGTTACTAGGTTATAGTTACTTGTTACCAGCCTCAGCATAAACCATGCCTGTACTTTCTTTGTTAAAGGGGCATTTGTATGTGTAAAAAAGGTGTTAAAGAGCCAAACCAAGACCTTCTTAATGTGATGAGAAAAGTTGAAAGAGAATTAGGGAGGTAATAGCTTTTATATTATATGAATCAAAGTTATTTAATACCCAGTCATACTTCCTAAATATTGGGCATATCATTGGGCTACTTACATATATTTAGAAATAATGCCCTAGAATTTTCATTTAATTCACATTTCTACAAGCAATCCCATTTTTTTTTTAAGCAGACAGGACTGTCCTCATTGTTTAATGGGGGGGGTACAAACACGACTTGGGTTAGCCGTAGCAGTGCAGGTGCAGTGTTGTGCCTCCTCCAGGTTGCACGCCGGGAGCCACTAATGGTGTGGTGGAACTTGTGGTCCTTCCCAGGGCCACAGCTCTTGCGACTCGCCGACATCAGCCCCCGTATCTCCCGATGCTTGTGGAATGGCTTGATGATCCACTGGGTGTCTGGATTTCTTTTTTTTTTTGCTTTTTTTTTAGTTGGAGTCTCACTCTGTCGCCCAGACTGGAGTGCAGTGGCCACTCCCGGCCACCGCAGCCTCGACCTGCTGGGCTCCGGGGATCCTTCTGCCTCAGCCTTCCAAGTAGCTGGAACTACAGGCGCGCGCTACCACACCCAGCTCATTTTTTATTTCTGACGACTTTATGGAATGGATCGATGAGGATAACCTCAAAAAATTTCTATGTGGAATCTTCACCAACCCAGCAGGAATTCAGGACTCTTAGAGCCCAACAGTGACGTCCAGCTCGCTCCTCGGTCACAGACTGCAGGCTGTGTGAACTTAAACTTGCTGACGTCTTGGTGCACAGGCTTGTCCTAGGCCGCGCCCTTGGGAACAGGGCATTTGTGGCCACCCCCGTGGATTCGGCAGATGACATAACCTTGCTTGGCTTTGCGTGCCTTGTCGGGTCGCGTGGGGCGCAGGGTGCGGTGCGGTGCGAGGGTTGGTGGTACTGTCAGCAGCGCACCCGCAGCAGTCCGAATGCTTCTTCTGCCACAGATCCAGGATGTACTTGAACCATCCCAGCTCACCGCTGATGGTTGCCGCCAGACGGAAAGGAACAAGCCTTTCTCCCACAATCCCTTTTGGGCTCTAGCAATCCCATTTTTAACATACTAATAAGTGTTAACTGAGTTAACAGTAATACCTCTGACAAGATGTTTAAAGAGGTAACTTTTCTTTACTCATTTAAAAAGAGAAAAGATAATCAGTTTTTGAGAAGTGATTCAGATGTAGCCTTGTCTCCAAGTCAAAAGATGATTAATTTGTCTTCTCCCGTATGAATACTAGAATGAGGAAATACATTTGAAATAACCAAAAGCTTTGTTTTCAATTCCCTAACAAAATCAAGTTTCTCAAATTTTAAAATAAACTTCAAAATGTAATTTTCCAGATATGCTGGGTAAGGAAACTAAAAAAGAATTTGTTTTGTAACTATTTATGATGGCCCCCGAGGCACTATATAGTAATAATCTCTGCCACACTAGATGTTTAATAAAGGCAAAATTGATATTAAAAAAATTGAAAATCTTAAAGAGTTAAAAAGAAAATGGACTTAAATAAGAACGTCACTATGGACAAGATATAAATCACAGGCATCTCTCACTCATCCATATTCAGCTTTGGTAGTCTCACAGCCCTGGAACATATCCAAAAACTAGGAAGTAAGCAAAAAAAGGGCTCTGATGAGAAGTTTTAAATCCATACAGCAAAACACACAGTCCTTATTCAAATGAGAAGCACGTACTTCTACAGAGCCCCCTCTTAGTTTAAATTCAAGGCTAACTAAATTGGTTGTTTGGTTTTCTAGCACAAAGCACATGAAAAAGGAAAGCGGAGGTTCTACTGATAGGTAGTAGTGAAATATGGCCACATAAAGCAAGCAAAAAGATAGACAAAGAGAAATAAAAACTCAAAATTACTACAGACTACAGCTATCTAATGTAAAGGCAAATTTCGGCATTACCATTTATAGCACAGAATAACAACTGATATTCGCACTAATTACCCCAATGTAAAATTATGCTCAGTGTGTTTTAAGTATGTAAGAAAATACGTAATGTATCTTATTTTATTTTTTTATTTATTTTGAGTCAGGGTCTCACTCTGTTGCCCAGGCTGGAATACAGTGGTACAACCATGGCTCACGACAGTCTCAACCTCCTGGGTTCAGGTGACCCTTCTACCTAAGTCTCCTGAGTAGCTGGGACTACAGGTGTGTGCCCCATGACTGGCTAATTTTTGGTTTTGTAGAGATGAGGTTTTGTTATGTTGCCTAGGCTTGTCTCAAACTCCTGGCCTCAAGCAATCTTCCCACCTTGTCTCAAACTCCTGGCCTCAAGCAATCTTCCCACCTTGGCCTTTCAAAGTACTGATTACAGGCAAGAGCTACTGGTAACATGTATTCATACTAATGAGCCCAAGTCTATACAATGCAAAATTATGTGCAACAGTAATTTGTTTGACGTCTTCCACCTGGCGTTTTACTATTTGAGCAGACAGTGCAGTAGCATTTTCTTCCTCCCGTATTCATAATAGGTAATTTATTGTCCAATCTGTTGTTCAAAGAAGATGTGGAAAAGACACACTCGTGATTCCTAAAAACCACTTCTCAACTGATCGATCATATCTCAGTATACCATATATTCCATCTCTTTATTTGCTTTCTCATGCAATTTAAATGGAAAACTTCAAGGAAATATAAATTTTTGAAAAAATTGTGCTGGCATAAGTTTGTCCTATATAATCACCAGCAATCTCTTCCTGCTCCCCGAGAGGGGACACATCTGAGTTTTTGTTAGATTTATGATCTGTGGTCAAGTTGCCGGTAGGCGATTCTTGAGATGTCTCAGTACAAAGTGTTAATTGACCATAATACCTTCGCTCATGCCTATATCTTGCTTACTTCTTTGCCAATAGTAAATATTCAGTATCACGGTCAACTTTACTGAAGAACTGATTCTGGCATAAATGACCACCAATCATGTCCCAAAACAGCTGTGGAACTTCTAAATTTGGATTCAGAATATCTGTGCTTAAACTCTGGATTTATCATTTTATTAGCTGTGTGACTTTTAAAAAAAACCTCACTTCTTTTTTCATACCTGCTAAAAAAAAGATATTCTGAATTTCTTCTATCTCTGACGTTTTACAATTCTATCAAAACTGTATATTTAACACTAATTATAGGCACATTAAAGAAATATTTAAAATTTAAAAAATCAGGCTGTGCATGGTGGTGCACACCTGTGATTCCAGCTACTCAGGAGGCTGAGGCAGGAGAATTGCCTGAGCCCAGGAGTTTGACACCAGTCTGGGCAACATAGTGAGACCCTGTCTCAAAAAATAAATGAACAAATAAATAAACAAGCAAAGAACAATTTTTAAAAATCACCACATTAATCTCTCATATAAATGACATGAGTACCCTTCTTGATACTCTAGATTTTAGTAGCAATAATAACTTCTAGTAATATAAAAATTTTTTTATCTCACAGTTTTGATTCCTTCTAAGTTACAAAATCATCTGTAAATGTAAAAACACAGGAAAACTACCTATCCTCATCAGTGTAAGAATAACACAGGCTAAGGAGCACAGAAAGTATTTTATATTTATTATGCCCACCTAGTACACACTATTATGATTTTTGCTTATAAAAAGGTATTTCAGTAAGTTAAAAAAAAACTCACAAATTTAAAAGTATTCAAGTTTTTCTATTATAATCTAAAATATTTTAGGAACGGCAAATTGAAAATGCATGATGTTAACTTTGTAAAATAAAGCAATGGTTCTGTAGTTGTCATTTGTTTTTTTTTAACCTGCCCAGGACCCATTCTCCCTTTTATCTGATTACATCTCCTTGACTTTTGCTAGGGAAGCTCTACCTCCTGTCATTCTCAATCCAAGTGGCCTGGATAAGGCTTAACCCAATCTAGCTCCTGGAGTGGGACTATGATCCACATCGAAGCCGATCATCTTCATATTCAAATCCCCACTGGCCACAGTGAGAGACTGAAAGAGAGGCACATGACCTAAGTTGATCCAAATAATACTTATTCTGGAACTTTTGCTAGAGAAATTATGTAGAAAGGGCTTCTTTTCTTGAAGAGTTGCTGAGAAATAAGATGTAGACATGCAGACATTTTGTTACCACAAAGGGAAAGGCTGCTTAGGAACTTTACCAGAGAGGAGTTCAGAGCTAAGAAAAAGATGCTTGTAAAATTATTTGAGTTCATGGGGACAGCTGTATCTGAAGCCACCAACTTTTTAAAATTTAAGCCAGTTTGAATTGAGTTCACTGTTGCTTCTGATTGAAAGACGCCTGACCTGTATAAACCAATATGAATTCCTTTTGACTATGGAGAAGATGGATTATGTCAGTGATGAGTTTACTTTGGGCTGAGTGTGGTGGCTCAAACCTGTAATCCCATGATTTTGGGAGGCCAAGGCAAGAGGATTGCCTGAGCCTGCGGGTTCGAGACCAACCTGGTCAACATGGTGAGACCTCATCCCTACAATAAATCAAAAAATAAGCTAGGCATGGCAGTGCGTGCCTGTAGTTCCAGCTAATTGGAAGGCTGAGGCGGAAGGACT